GAACTGGCCTCTCTAGCTAACTTGAGTAATGGTCTCAAGTTGCAGTGGGGGAGGTTTAGGTTGGATATTAGGAAAAATTTATCACTAGGAGGGTGGTGAGGCACTGGAATGGGTTCCCTAGGGAGGTGGTGGACTCTCCTTCCTTAGAGGTTTTTAAGGTCAGGCTTGACAAAGCCCTGGCTGGGATGATTTAGTTGGGGATTGGTCCTGCTTTGAGCAGGGGGTTGGACTAGATGACCTCCTGAGGTCCAACCCTGATATTCTATGATTCTAACTGCATGCCCAATAAGCGGAAGTGTTGCTAAAACTGTCCCATGTCAGCACCTGATGTTGCATTCGCTATCACGATGCTACACTGGTCCAGTTAAAGGACATCCTAATTTAGGGGAATGTATTGGACAATACAACACTTGATCTTAGCCAAAACTATATGTTGAAATGAGTCCGACTATAAGTGTGCTCTTCCGCCCTCTAGTGGTGGTTGGGCCACATATAGAGGTTGATGGCCCTACTCCAACTTTCGGTAATAAAACTGTATCTTTTAGCTCCTACAGTAGATGCTCATGATTTCAGTGCCAGAGGTCCCGAGGTTTGATTCTTGCTGCTGACAACCCACTCGGGTGGGGGCAGCATCACACAAGCCAGGATCTAAATCAGAACTTCTTCAATAAACTGCTCACAGAGCTTCAGATCTAAGGTTTTAGATCAGGCCTAACACTAAATTCAAGTTAATTTTTAACTCTTCAGGGGGCTACAGCATTTGTGAAAATAGATGGCAGAATCCCCCCTCCCCCCCACAAGATTTAAATTCTCAGATGAATGATCGAAAAGACTAAACCACGCTGCAGAGCTCTCTCTGCAAAGCATGAGAAAGCAGTAGTGGTCAGAAAGGTCAAAGCAGCCGGAAGTTTGTTGTTTACTGAGACTTTGGCTGTAACGTATTTGTGGTTTGTTTAACCCACAGACTCACAGCTTCCGAGTGTAGATTTTCCAACTAGCAAAATACGCTTGGTTTGCTGCAGTTTTTCACTAATGTACTTGGTCAAGAATAAAGACTGGAACGGATCCTTAGCTGGTGAAAATCAGCCAGTGCTCCTTTGGAGTCAACGGGCCAGATCCCCAGCGGGTGTAAATCAGCATTGCTCCACTGAAATCAATGGGGCTAGATCCCCAGTTGTTGAAAATCGGTGCCGCTCCACTGTAGTCAAGGGACCAAATTCCCAGCTGGTGCAAATTGCCATTGTTCCATTGGAGTCAAGGGGCCAGATCCCCAGCTGGCGTAAATCAGCATAGCTCTATGGAAGTCAATGGAGCAATGAGAATTTACACCAGCTGGGGGCCTGGCCCCTTAGCTCCATTTTCCTTGCAGTTAGTTGGCAAATCATGCATGGGGGTAAGTATCCCCTGGACCAGTCTGTTTGGGCATCACACACGCAGGTGACATTCATAGCTGGAGCTCCTCTACATACTGAATTCTGCTCCGGGGTCTGCCTGTCTCCTGCTCATCCATGGATGCAGCCCCTGCCTGCTACCCGTGGGGAGGGGAGCGGCCGTCTGAGAGCGCTTACTGCATGTCTGGTCATGCAGAATGACTATGCAGCACTCACATAGTGACAAGCTTAACGGCTAGCACAGCCCTACGGCACTTGGAGGGGCCTCTCTCTCCTCACGCACGTTGAATCACTGACGTGGACAGGACAATCCACTTCTTTACCAGATATCGCCTTTCACAACAGACATTCTGGTCGACGACGGAGGGTCAGAGCCTGGCCTAACTCCACCGGTTGACAGCCGCTGGAGATCTGGCTCGGTGCGTGGTCAATCCACACATGAAAACTGTAGCTTATCCCTGTCACCATACCTGATCAGTCGGCTATCAGTGCAGAAAATATTCTCACTGGCACGGTTATAAGATTGTGCTGGGCTCTCCACAGTGGGCTTAAGGAACCAAGTTAGAACGTGGATTCATAGATCATTAGGCCAGGAGGGACCACTGACATCATCTGGCCAGAAGACGTCCCTGAATTAATTCCTGCTTGGTCTAAAACATGGGTGGGTGCAGGTTTGCCCCTCCCCATGCGAGAAATCCATGCTGGGCCACTTGTAGGGGTCGATCGCCATTTACAACAAGGTCCTTTTGCATCACTCGGACCGTGTAAAGGGGCCTTAAAATGCGGGTTAATTAGATATACGCTCATTTCAGGCTCCTTTGCGCCACCAGCGCGGCACAGAGGGACGTAGTGACAATGCGGAGGCCTCTTGCACGGACTGGCGGCGGCATGGTGGCGTGAGCGTATCTCGTTTATATTTTTAGATACGCGTTATATATATTTTGTTTTTCAAAGGTGTAAACAAGTTGCCTGAGCTCACTGCCTGCGTCTGTGCGGTTTCCTACCTCACCCCACTGTAAGAGCAACAGTGCGTTTCCCATGAAATGGACCTCGCTCTTTGAACAAAACAAAACTCGTCGAAAGGCGGGCGCTGCACACTCTGTGTCACAGACGCCCGGCCTAGGTGACATTTCAGCACTGGCTCTCGCAGCCCAGCCTGGACCCCCCCGGGCTGTACATCCTCTGTACACACACCAAACCTGCCGCTGGCTGAAAGCAGCCAGGGTTACTTAGCTGCTGCTGCCTGTGATAATGATAACATCTCTGTGATACTGTACTCTGCTTCTGATATTAAACCCGCAGTTCCTTTAGGGTCATTCCTTGGCTGGTTGTGCTTTAGATCACGCCTTCAAAACCAGACCAGGGGCAGCGTGATCGTTGGGCAAAATCCTACATCCCGGCAAAATTCAGCGTCAGCAGGAGTTTTTCCTGAGTCAGGACGGCGGGCTGGGTCTATATCTCGTACGATTAGTCTCCGTTACATTTGGGTCCCTTTACACAGTTCTGGCAGTGAATGAGTTAGGCCCACTTATGGGCCCCTTGACACTACCAGGGCAGCGCTTCATTCGTAATGAAAGAGGTGCCGGGGATCAAGCCATTCGGTGCCGGGACTCAAGTCATTTTTTTACATTCAGAATGGATGCAGCGAGCTCAGAGATGCCGGGGCGACGCACTGCCAGGCCTAGAGGAGACGGGACTCAGCCCTGGCAGAAATTAAGCGCTGGTAAAGGGGTTTAGTGCAAATGAGAATCAGGCCCCCCAGACTCATTGTAAGAGGCTCCTGTTGTAGTGCAGATAAGCCCATAGAAATCATAAAGCTATATAAGCACAGGGGCCCAGATCCGCAAAGGTCTGTAGGTACCTAACGCCCATTGATTTCAATGGAAGTTAGGAGCTTAAACACCTTTGAGGATGTGGGTCAGTGTCTCCCCAGCATGGACCCGCCTACAGAAAGGACCAATCGTCACCCTCCCGCAACACTAACTTCCCGCTGTACGGTGCTTTCAGGATTCCGAAGCACTCTGGACTCGGACTGGGGTCCTGCAAGCTGGTGAGTATCCTCACCTACGTTTGACCTCAGCACATCACAGCAGGGGCCTCAGCACCCAACAGGACCAGGCCTTTAAACAGTCTATAGGAATTTTGTCATCCACAAGGCACTGGAGATAACTCCTCTCCACTTGCTGACAGTGTACTGGGCACCCTCTGCCGCTGTTCAAGACCCCAGTTTTAAGTCTGTTCAGACAGAGGGCCCCCTCCTGCTGCCTTGTGGGTAAAATGAGCTCAGGTCGAGGCCCTTCTTCATTCATTTTTTTATTGGCACTTGTGACGTGCAGCAAGTTTAGTTCCGCTATGAAATGAAATGTACACGGCCCGATTCTGCCGCCCGGGACACCATTGTGAAGCCGGCGCAACTCCACGGAGTGCCACAGATTTACACGGGCACAAGTGAGGGCAGAACCTGGCCTGCGGGATTTGCAAAGTCCCCTCTCAGCCACACTACGTTGAGCTGCAGCATCTCACCAGCTGAAAAAGGCAACGGACGCTTTCGTGATGAGATTGAAGTTTTAATAAGTAGCGTGATGAGAGTTTGAAAAGAGCCGTCTGTGATCCAAATGGGCACATGGGCAGCCTCAGTGGCTAGGGAGAGCTCCTTTTATTGATTACCTGTTATTATTAGATGGCACAGCCCGTGGGCTTCTAAAGATCTGGCCCTTCAAGAAAAGCAGAAATCGGTGGAGTAGCAGCCCCAGTGCTCAGACAGAAGGCCTGTCCTACCAGCTCTTTCTTGATCCCGCTTTACCATTCATAATCTCAGCTGACATGAATGATGCATCACATGTCATTGCAAAACAGCAGCAGGTCCTCTTGCTAAGGGATGTGGTGGATTCTGCAGGCTTTATGTTCAGATCGGGTGTCTCTCTAAAAGCTACATCACAGCTCAAACACAAGTTATGGCCTTGAGGTTCTCTGGTCTATGACTCAGGAGGTCATGATGGTTCCTTCTAACCTTCACATTTATCAGTCGAGGAATCTGAGGGAGTCAACTCTGCCCCCCCAGATGGGTGAGGGATTTGTTCCTAAATATGAGCCCTGGTTGAAAACTTTCCATCTAAATTCTTTTTTCCCTTTTGACAAAACCCAAATCTTTGATTTTTTATTTTTTTTGGTCTGAAGATTGAAAAGCCAGGAATATAATCAGTTTGGTTTGTAGCTGAAAATGTGTTATGGGGTTTGGTGGCCAAACAGTGAAAAAAAAAATCCTTCAACAAAAAGTTAACATTTGCTGCAGAAAATTTCAGGAAAAATGAAATTTTTTTGCTTTTCTCAAAATTTTCCATGAGGGGAAAAAAGCCATTTTCCAACCAGTTCTTCAAAATATGCAAATCAACTGAAAAGTCACCTGTATAATGATGCCTTTAGCACCTGTCGGGGGCTAATTCTTAGGGGGATTTTCTGACATTTATACTTTAAACAGAGAGGAGGAGAGAAAAAAGGATACAGCCAGACAGAGCCTTGTTACAGGTTGGCTAATCTCACTGAGATCAGCAGAGAACAGTCAGTTCCCACGTGTGGATTCCCCTGCACTAGACAGTTTATGGCTTTACACTCTTCCCTCTGGCCGGTTGCTGCATCTTGCGCCCATCACGATTCCGCGAATCAAAATCCAGATGAGCGTATAAGATTCCACCCTGTTTGGCGACATTTAATAAAATGAGCCACCGCCTTGTAAAATGAAATGAAACAAGCTGAGAGAGAACAGAACACGCAAGTGAGTTTGGCACCCATGGACCTTACTAAAAATTCCTTCAGTCTCTTATTCTCCCGCTTTTCCTATAAACGGTGTGTGTTATGAAAATGGACAGTGCCTCTGACTTTAAGAACTCAGTGATAACATTTTGCTCTCCTCGGGGCTTATGCGCAGCCCACGGAAATAACAAAACCTCTCCGGTTCATTTCAGTTAGCTTTGGATCAGGTCTCAAGCACTTTTCAGTCGAGAATCTTAAATGTTCTATTATTTATTCGTTAAGTGCCACCAATATGCCCTGCACTGTATAAGACACAAAGGCTCAGATCTTCAAAGTGCCCAACTATGGGAGGAAGGCACCTAAATACCTTTGACAATCTGGGCCAAAGCGAAGACAGACTGCCCTGAAAGAATGTACAGTCTGAAACAATAATAAATTAAACGTCCTAGTATCCATGTGAATTAGGTCTTGTTATCTCTTTTTGTACAAATGGGGAAACTGAGGCACGGAGCAGGTAAGTGATTTGCCGAATGGCCAAGTCTATTAGTAGCCAGGCTGGAAATAACACCTGTAGGCCCCCAATGCACTAAGGTGAGGGACCCATTAGAAATGCCTGAAACAGACACATTGATTTAGACAGAGATGGTTTGTAACGTGACGTACCTGATTCTCCTGTGAAGCTGGAGGCGCTGAGCTCCTGGGCGGCAATCCTGGA